CTTTGCCCTGACATCCCCTTTGACACCGACCCTTCTTTTTCTCCCTCTCTCCCAAGCATCTTGTCAGGCTGGACTGCAGGACTGGAACTTAACAAGGAGATCTGGGTTCAAGTCTCACTGAACCCTCAAGACTCACTGGACCCATAGCCAGCCAGTCCCTTTAATTTCTCGCTTGTTCTTCTTCCAGTTTACGTTGCTGTAAAGAAAAAAAAAAAGGAAGGGAGCCCTGTACAATGCCTTGACCTCGCCGGAGAAAACGAGGGATAATAATTTACAATAATCTTAGGACCGGAGGGCTGGAAGCGACCTTAGGGATCCTCAGGTCCTGGCTCTGTCCGTGCTGGACAGCTCAGCGGTTTGGGCACCTAGCAGTGGAACCAAGGACTGGGAGTTCAATTCCCCCACTGGGCCTCCATGCGAGGGGATTGGACTCAGTGATCCAGTGGGTCCCTTCCACTTGACTGCTCTAAGGAAGCCCAACCACCTGGCTCTGCAGCCAGTAATCTAACCACTGAGCTCTCCAGCAGCTAGAAAGACAAGGAGCAAACCAACGACCTCAGTTGGCAGATGCCGTCCCTCTTCTGCTTCCCCCCCAAAGACAGCAATAGGGCGAGAGACACGGGGAATGGCTAACGACCTGCTGCATCACTACCGAGGGCAGCTATTACTTTAGCCTCTCTCCCCTACCTGCCTTTTTGTCATAAACTTAATTTATTATGGCGATGTGTCGATTTATGTCGGCTGGGGCAGACAGAATCTAATCTGCCCGCTCCTTTGCTCCGAACGCCCTCTCCTGCGGTGCAGCTAACTGGATTTAGGTTCTGTCTGGCCCACGGCTGAAGGTATGAGGAATGAAGCCGATCCAATTAAGGTCCTAGACGTGGGTTATCTTCCCTTTGCTTATCTGCAAAGTCTGAGCATCTTTGCCAGGGCGAGGGGAGGGAGGGAGGGAGAAAGGGTGGCTTAACGCCTACCGCAAGCACGGGAAATGTAACCAAAACCCGCTAATCTCTGGCGGGTTTGTTTTCTTTAAACACCAGTAAAGGAGGGGATTAGAAATTCGCCTTGGATTTGCTCGCATCAGACTGGATGAGACCCAATCTGGGCAGGGGAGGGAGAACTAAGAGCCTGGCTGCCCTCTACTTATGCTGGAAAAACAAATAAATAGACAGTGGTTAACAGGGTCTGAGCTGCTGCCGATTAAATTTTTTTTTTTTTAAAAAAGGTGACAGGTTGCCAGGAAGACGCCAGGAAAAAAATTGGGGAGACGGGCTAATCTTCTTAGTAAGAGAAGTCTTTTCGGAATGCGACAAAATGACGATTTTATGATCGGCCAGAGGAAAACGCCAACCAAGGCAGACTGTTCTGGGGCAATCCCCTTTTATCCTCAACCCCTGTCCTCTGGACCCCCCCAGACAGACAGACTCACACACATTTAGTGTTGCTCCCCAACCTCCAACAAGCGAGGGGGAGGGCATGTGGGCATGTCAACAAAACACCGAGACCCAGACACCCTTTGGGCTAATGTTGCTGGATAGCTCAGTGGTTTAGGTCTCTGGCTGTGGAGCCAGAGGTTGGGAGTTCGATTCCCCCCCCTCCACTTGGGCCTCCTGCGAAGAGAGCCAGCCTGGGTAGCCTTGGGCCAGCGGCACCATCCCAGGGCGCCCCCCTGTAGGGGGAAACCACCTCTGAGTCATCTCTACCTGGAAAATCCTATAAAAGGGTTGCCATAAGTCAGAATTGGCTTGACAGCACATGATTATTATTTGATTAGGCCTGAGAAGAGCAGCTATGATATGCCAGGTCCTTAAAAACCTGTTATACTACCAGGACAGGTATACTGCACTTAAGAGGTGGACGCTCTCCAGGCTCAGAGGGAGATTGAGAGAGACAGGCTATCTGCTCACACACCCCCGGCCCACAACCTCACCTTCTTCTTCACCGTCATAGCGCCTCGGAGATGGATAGCCAGCTGCCGGATGTAGATGAAGGCATGCTGGTAGGAGACGGAGACATCAAGCGCATACATCTCGGTCAAAGTACGCTGCATGAAGTTGATCATGGGAAGCACGTTGGGGGAGGTGAATCTGGAGTTCTTCACGTAGGAAATATACATTTGCTGAAAAGGGAAAGGGAAAACAGAGGCAGTGATGCTTCTTTGTCCCAAACGGCGGCAAGTAGTAAATTGTCACGTGCTGGCCACAATCCCATCACGTACACCAGCATAAGTTCAATGGCAGCAGCACACTGCCCCTACTTTTAAGTTGATATTTGCATTCCTCAACACACACGCCCCGGCATGGGATGAGCCATGAAAGTGTTGACTTCTTAACCAGGGGTAACTTGCTGCTGGGGTTTATGTGGATGGATTTGCTCCAGAGTACTTTACAGGATTGCGCCCGTGTTTATTCATTAGTTACACTTAGCATCCTGTCTCTTAGCAACTTGACAAGCTGTACGGGGATCTTCAAAAGAAGCGCCCTGCGAGTGACCACACTATCATGGCTTGTATTAAACAGTGGTTTGTTGCGTACACCAAAAACAGCATGACAGTGTCACACAAATCATGGTTTGTCTTCTCTGTTTCTGGCACATTTCTCCCCTACTCAAGGGATAACCCCGTTCTAGGTTCAAACATAATGGAAAATCATAATCTGAATGGCTGGAAAGTGCAGTGGTTGAGTTATCTGGCTGCGGAGCCAGAGGTTGGGAGTTTGAATCTGCTGCCCAGCTTCCTTGACAGGGGATGGACTCGATAATCCATAGGGTCCCTTCCAGCTCTGTAGTTCTAAGGTGATGATGATTAAACAAGAGTTCATAAGCCAATAACCATTTGCACCTTCTAATTTGGTGCTTCTATATGTTCTGAACTAGTTCACCCTTACGCCACATCCTATATGGACAATAATGAGAGGATTAAGGGCATTGTAGTCTCCCAGGGCCTGGAAGCTACCAGGTTGCCTACCCCTGACACAGACACTCAAGGACAAAGACAGACCCTTGACCTCACCAGACATTATAAAACCAGCTCTCGTCTCCATTTTGCTTTCTGACATGGCCTTACCTTCAGGACCGGGTTCAAGTAGGCCTCTTTTCTGTGCCGGCAGATCTTGTTGAGCACCAGAAAGGCCAGAACCCTCACCGTCTCCTCTCCTGTGCTCCAGAGGCGAATTGCTTGCTTTTTAAAAAAAAAAATAAGCAAAGAAAACAAAAAGGAAAAAAAAGATGAGGACCCAAAGAACGGGAAGAAACAAGAAAGCATTCAAGCAACATCGCTGTGGCTTCCGTCTGACCTCAAACGCCAGGCTGCGTCTGCAGAGACCAGGAGATGGACTGTCTCTGATGGCAGCTGACATAGCAACTGAATGCTTCTGGAAAATATCATCTTAAAAAAGGAGGTCACTTCTCCAAGGTTTATACTTCGGCCAGCCTCGTGTCCTTACAAATGTCTCCGGAAGCCTTCCCGCGGCAACCTTCTTGAATGAGCTTCAGCTGAGTTCTGGGTTCGCCTTCAGGTTTTTTTAGGGCCTCTCCTGAGAGTCTTTCAACAGCTCAGGAGATGCCATAACCCAAGAGGCCACCCCTTCTTCTGCAAGTCACCCCCCCCCAAGCCTGTGCTCTTCTCGTCCTGAACTGCTGGATAGTTCCATGGTTTCGGTCTCTGGGTGAGGAGTTCGAATCCCCGCTGGGCCTCCCTGACCAGAGGCTGGACTTCATGGCCCGCAGAGCGCCTTCCAACCCTGCCGTTCTAAGGTTATTCTTATCTCTCCCTGCTCCGGGTGTGTCTCTGTCGGAACAGGTGAGAGGTGGGTTTGGATTTGTTTTCTTTTTAATAAGACCTTTCAAGCATCTGCAAAGCTCTTAACAAATCCACCCAAGTCAACTTGAAGTCGAAATATTTTGCATGTGGGAGAAAGCAAAACAGATATGTTTGTCCACCCAGGCAGAGACTCTTCTGTTTCAGGGTTCATGCATTCGATCACGTTTGCTGGGCTGAATTAAGACCGATACCTCTTTCATTTTATATGAAGGGATTGCTCATTTTCAGGGCCAGTGACATGGCAGGGTCACGATTATGCCCCCTGGCTGCCTGGCTGACTCACCTTGACCAGCATCCGGCACTGCTTTGGAAAGTTCAAGTAGTAAGGCACAATGGAGTTGACATGTTGCAGGACAGCCGCTCCCACGGAGGCTTCCGTTAAACAAGACAGGAGCTGCAGAAGGAGGACAGGAAACATCAGTCATAGAGGAACTGATGCTCTTGAAGACATCAGAAGCAATAGTTTCCTTTCTAGGTGAGACACAACCCTCCTTACAAAGCTCTAAAACCCAATTTTACAAAGCAAGAAGAGTCCCCCTAGGCTTCCTGAAATGGCCCATCCTCCTCCACTTTAGATCTGCAAGTCTGCTTCGGTTCTGTGCCAAAAGCTGTAATGTCAGTTTCATCAATTCAGAAGTCGCTTCAAGCCGTGGTTAATGCAAACCATGGTTTTCAAATTCATCTCAAGCCATGCTTCTGTTTCTGTTCTGCCAGTTAATCAGATATTCAGATAGGATACTGAACTATAACTGTCAACAGCTGCCTGGGGAGGAATTCTTTCCTAGCCCTAGCTGGCCAAGTCCTGTCCCAGCCCTAGCTGGAGTCTGAACCTGTGATATTCATCACCAACATGGATAAGATCTGTATGAGCCTGCAGTTGTGGCAAATCCACTGTATCCTACCAGAAATCATCGGAACAGAATTGGGCACCAGACCTGCCCAGTTTTCAATCCCCAAGTAATCACAGCTCGTTTGTAGAGCAGCAACTTTGAGTGCAGGACATCCCAAGTTCTGTCCCTGGCATTTCTATTTCAGAGGCTCTCAGGTGGCCAGTGAACTGCTTGTCTGAAATGCTGGAGAGGTCCTGTTAGTCCAAGCACATAACAATGGACTGGACAGATAAATAAGCTGGTCCACTTTGAATCTGTCAGCCATTCCGGGGAAGGTCCAAAGGCGAGTAGTAGAGAGTGTGCTTTGCATACAGGAATTCACAGGTTCAAACACCAGCTAGGGGGAGGAAAAAATTCTCCTCCTCTGGACAGTTGTTCACAGTCAGCGCTGACAACACTGAATTAAAAGGACCACAGGCAACTTCGAATGTTCTGCACATTTTACCTGGATAGTACAGCCAAGGTATTCAAACACCAGCTAGGGCTAGGAAAGGATCCTGGCCAGCTAGGAGTAGGAAAAAATTCTCCTCCTCTGGACATTTGTTCACAGTCAGCACTGACAACAATGAATTAAAAGGACCACAGGCAACTTTGAATGTTCTACACATTTTACCTGGATAGTACAGCCAAGGTATGTTTTGATATCCAGGCGCAGCTTGCCCCAGAGCGGGCTGGAGGACGGCAAAACCATTCTGAACAAAGAAAAGAAAAAAGGAGTGGAGAAAGTGACCTATTAATCTAGTTTGGTAATACAAAACAAAACAAAAACAGGTAAAGCTGTAGCTGCCTCATCATCTATTTACATATCAAATTGTATCCATAACAGACCCAGGAAATACGTTTTGGAATTAGGTGCAGAAATTAACATCTGGAAATCACAGCCTTTCCCTACTCCCTGGCCACTGATTTCTTTTCTGAGCAAATTCCTAGTTCTCAAGCCTGCAGTTTAACTTGAAAGACCCAGAGAAATTTTCAAAAAACAAAAACAAAAAACATGAGCTCATCAAAAACCTTCCTCTACACAACCAGAGTCATGTTGTTATGTATCCAAGGCACAACCAATAAAATCACAATGTAAAGGAGTTAAAATGTGGACAATATATTCATAACACAAGCATCTGAGTTTCTTTGAAAGGAGCACTTACTTAGAGATATACCCTAAAAAGATCCCTCATCGCCCACTGTTCAGTAAACTGGTGTAGCTCATTTCTATTGCTATCCTTCTTTGATTTCACAACTAACCCTGGAGACAGGTGAGTTTTCTAGCCATTTCACAAAGAACTAGGGAAACGGATCAAGCTGCAAAAAGGCCACCCAGCAAACCGATGCCCAACGGATGAAACCGGAAACCTGGGTTCTGTTGGGTCTCCACGGCTGAATTTACCTAGTTTACTCAGCTTGGCTTGGGAGGCTTCCTGGCCAACATCTAACCCAGTTTGACCTTGTCTAGCTTTGGATTTCTGCCAAGGTCACGCGCAACACCACATGTGGGCCCCCTCACTTCACCCTGGCCATTGGTCACGATCCCAACCAGATCAGATGGCACAGTCAAAGAATGCCATGCAGCCGACGCCCACATTGAAAGAAACAAGGGATTAATTGTACTGTGCTTAACCCAGCTGTGCTCCCTCCCGATGGCTGTCTGCCTGAACTGGCCTGGACAATTCGGAAAATTTCTTGTTAGTAGCTTTGCTGTTACTGGGCCCCCTGGAGCAGTCGAGAGTAGAAGGGACCAGCTACAAAATACAGAGGGGACAGGGGCTGTCTGGCAACCGGCAATCTCATCTGCCAGGCTGCCCCTGGAGTGTTGACAGTGTTTGACCTGTCTGTCCTCCATAGAGATGATTGCCCTACAAGGTGTGCAAATTCCTCTACAAAATGAATAATCATCATCTGCCATCAAGCCAGTTCTGACTTAGGGCGACCCTTTCCCAGATTTTTTCCAGGTAGAGAATCCTCAGAAGTGCTTTCCCCTTCTTTTCTTCGGGGGGAGGGAAAGAGAAGAAGTCCCTGAACTGTGCAGTTCCCCCCCCCCCAAAAGGCCACACAGGCTTTTATTCAGAAAACTGGGATGCGGTTTCACAAAATGAACTTACAAAGGTTTAAGAGACTGCTCAATGACTGTGTAGCCGTTTGAGAAGCCTTGTCTTAAAATGTGACTTGTGTTTTCTTCCTGTATTTCACAATAATAACAAGAATTGCTTATTCATGACGATTTGTCTATAAGAGCCTCATGTCCTGGTCGAAAGGATAAACCTCCGGGCAGCGGTCAGAGGGTTTAGATTACAATGCCTGTACGCTGGACCACCAGCCATGGTGGTGGCTGGCGCAGATGGGCCTTGTAGTCCAGAGGTTATATGTAGGGAACAAACTGGCATATCAGGGCACATATTTGTAAACAAAATTTTAAGATAAGAACAATAAAGAAATAACACTTACTTGGACTTGTTTTTTGCCGCTTTTACCTGCAGGAATTTCTGCAGCAGACCAAAGAGGTCACGGACACAGAAGGACACAAGGGTGTTGAACACTAGAGGAGAACAGTGGGGGGGAAAAAGCACAGTTGTTTGGGGTTCCTAAATAAACGTAACACTTCCTTCTCAGTACAATGTACACACCAGTTCCAGGTCTTTCTATCTGCATGTGTATATAAACATGTGTGGCTTGATTTGAGTACAGCTCTTATCATTGCCCCAAAATATGGCTATAATGACAACAAATGTACTTGGGTTGGGTATTTTGTTGTAACTTCCACTCTGCATCCCAAATAATTGGGGGGGGGGCACGGAAACCAGCATTATTCAGCACTCCTTCAAGAATTCAAAGTCTGCAGGCTGCGCCCCGGGACCATTTGGACAAATTTACCTGCAACCAAAGACCTTAGAATCTTGCAGTCCAAACAACCACAGGTGCTGCTTGAGCAATCCCTACTGGAGTGGCTCCTCTATAACCCAGAGTAAAGTCCACACTCGTTTGTTTGCCATTTGCTTTAGGAGAAGCACCAGAGAAACTGAGGATAAACCCCACTGCTTGGCATTCCAAGTGTTATGCCAAGAATAATTCAGCACGGTGTGCTTTTCCAAAAAGACAGGCCACAGGAGAACAACTGCAGCTGTGAACTCTCCTTTATACAACATACTCCCCGACTGCAGAAAAGCAGCAAGTCAGTGTTCCAATACACCCTGTTGATTACGTTTCTAGGTGCAGTGACCTGCAACTGTTGCTGTTTTTAAAAACACAAGTGTGTCTAGAACCCAGCCTTCACCCTACCCCCAAATTACACACTGAGCCTTCCTCAAAACAGCAGGGGCTGAAGCCAGGCCTTGTGAGCATACCTGTGCTGTCAGTGACTTTGAACTTCCCAGGTTCCATGCCTTCCGCATCTCCCTTGGCTGTCACGACACACGCTTTGAAAGCCTGGGTGATCTCATGGAAGAGCCTGGGTGAGATTTGCTTCTAGATAAACAGAAGCACAGAGGACGGGAGAATGTTTAAAACAGCAGCCTCTCTTCCCTCAACAGCTACAACTCCACTCAGCTGAGGAATGGGGAGGACAAGAGAACATTTCCTACACATTGCTCAGTCTAACTACATGCACCACCTTCTGCGAATTATACACTAACATGCAAAATGTAACAATTTGCTTAGGATCTAGGAGTAAACAATGGTAAGCACATACACACATACCCTGCTTCATCAACATTATCTGCAACACTATAAAAGTGGTATTTTTTAAAAAAATCTTGCCTCTGCAGCTGCTTTCCAATGTTCCACCATCTTCAAAGTCACAGTGATGAAGTCAATTTTTTCCCGTTTTGCACTTTTCTCCTTCCCATCATCGCTATCGTCGTCGTCATCACTTGCTTCCTGTGAAGGATTTTTTAAAGAAAGGAAATTAAGATTTACTGGCAATATTATTTTTTAATTGTGGTATTTACTGTAAGCCTCTGAAGCATCATCACTGAAGAGTAATTTAGGCACGCATGTGCGTGTGCGTCTTTTAAATCTACCTCCAGTTTGTCAGGCAACACATGTCGGGCATCTTCCTCGTCAGAGGTGTCTGAGTCATCAAAATTAAGAAGCGTTTGGTCATTTTCTTCCAAGAACTTATAAAACTCGGGATCTCGATCCTTCAGCCGGGAGAGCTGGTCTTTATGCTGGGCCGCCTTCCCCCTTTTCACCTGCCTGAGCAGAGGAAAGATGATGGTGTTTTCACAGCTTCAACACAAAGGCATTCATTAACTGTAAAATTTTAAGTCCCACCACCTCTACAGACGACTTAAGGTACCTTGCCACAATGACAGCTTTTCAAAGTGCAGCTTTTGCTACAGTTTTTCAAATGTAAAAAAGATGGTCTGGATAAGATTGAAGGGCTGTCACCCGGATAAAGGTATCTCACCCAACTGAACACATTCATCGTGCAGTACAGTCCCATGCACGCCTAAGGTAGAAATCATTGTCACTAGTCAAGTTGGGGGCTATAATCCAAACCCACCCACCCCCATTTCCAGTCTTTGATTCTTCCCCAATTATTACATGTCCAGATCACTTGCAGTAGGTAAAGCCATCAAGAAACCACCAAGAAGCTTCCAAATAGCACCAGGAATTAGTGGGGGGTGGGGGAGAAGAGTTTGGAAACTACTGGATCAAGTAATCAAGTGCACTTACAGAAAGTTAAAAAAAATCTTTCCTTTCTCACCTTTCCACCGGTTTTGATTTGAGCGTCGCTGTTTTCTTGGCACGACCCTTTCCATTTTGACACTGTTTTCCAGCCGACCCATTTTGCTTGGAATCCGAAGCATCTGCTTCCGAGTCCTCATTGTCCATGTCGGAGTCAAACCCGGACGCCAGGAATTCATCAACGCTCAGCTGAACAAGTTTTCTGGTATCAGAGAGGAGGAACAGAGAGATGGCTCTAATTCGCTGTCAGACCCCTCTGCCGCATTTTTTCAGACTGCATTTTGCTGGGGCAGATTGGGCTCCATTTCATCATTATACTTAGTGGCTGAAGTCTTCTTGCTTAGTTATGCCCACAGAAGGCAAACAGTGTAAACGCTGCTAACTGGCCAGCCCCAGTCTAATGGGAAATCCCACAAATCATGAGGACGTGTAAATTGGCAGCAAAAAGCTGCTGCAAGTAACACATTTTTTCCCACTACACAAGATGATTTTGGCTATGCTAATTTAACATAACTTTTAGACAGTACCTCGCTCTTAAGGCTATTTATAAATAACTATATTATAAAGTAGTCTACAACATATACCACTTTACAGAGCAGTAATTTATAAAAAAACACATTCCAAAAATCTAGAAACCTATCCCCAGACTAGTATTAACATTGAAGTTAGACACACATGTAACTTCCACGACACAGCTTTCTTCTGATAATTAAACAGGGTCCCTTTAGAACTGAAAGACGACTATTTACAATATTAAGACAACAATCTTGTCCAGTTTTTAGTTCTGTGATTACGATTTTGTATCCGAAAGATTTTACATAGCAAGTGCTCTGTTTTATTTGATTTCAAGTTTCTATTTACATTACAGTCCTACATCCATATACTGGACTTCTGTGTTTGGGGCAATGGGGAACTAAATCTGATTTCAAAGTCATCTTTCTGAAAATACCCAGTGTGGTGTGGTGGACAGAGTGACAATCTAAGACTCCGGAGGCCTGGGTTCGAATCTCCACTCAGCCACAGAAACTCACTGGGAGCATGTAAGTGATAAACCACTCCTTAAACATCACACTTACCTTGAAAGACCTATTAAGATCACCATGGCACATAACAAGTCTTTCTGAGAGCCCTGCTTCATTTGATATCTACTTTCTTGGTTATATGCATGCCATGTTTTAGTCTCCCCACAAAGTGTTTCTCCTCTTATGAACATGCTTTCACGTTACATTGTTTTTGAAGTAGAGACAGGCAGACGGGATGTAAATTAAAATAGGTTTTGTGACCCACCTGTTTTTACAGTGAGCTATTAGCATTAACACACGTTTTATTATTCCCTCTGAATTCCATAAAACTGACTTTAAGGCAAAAGGCACCACCCTATTTACCTGGAAACAAGGCTGTTTACCTGGGAATTTCTTCCCAAATAGACACATGAAATTACACTAGAACTAGAAGCTGGTGGGAGAAAATAAAATTTAGTTGTTCAGAATACCATTCCCAGAAATTACAACTGAATACCAAAAACTTCCACATCAGGTCAAAAACACGAGTGTGTGAGTGAGCGAGTAAGTGAGAGAGAGCAAGAAAACTCCTCAGAAAATAAAAGCTCACATTAAAACATAGCACTTAAGTCTCTAAGGCGCCACAACGTGTTGCCTTCTTTATTCCCCCCCCCTTGACCGGATACGATAAACACACGCTAACAGGGCTCCTCCTTCTAAAACTACAATGATTTCGAGGCTCTAAAAACTACATTTTCCAAACCGAGAAGCTAGCATAATATTCCACTCGTGGTTTTTACAGGCAGCGCAACGCAAAAAATAAGACACGAAGGTTTGTATGTATGGAAGCTAGCATAATGTTCCACTCGTGGTTTTTACAGGCAACGCAAAAAATAAGACGCGAAGGTTTGTATGTATGTATGTTGTTGTTTTTGCCTTATTTTTTATATTTATATATATATATTTGCAAATAAAGGCAAGGCCCTAGGCCGCTGGCAGAGTCGTCGGGAAAGGCGACGGCCAGCTCCGGCCCTCCGGTTGCCAGCCCATAGGCGCGCCCCTGCTTACCGTTTGCCGGCCGCCGCCATGCTCGCGCCTCCGCTCCTTCTTCTCCTCCCCACCAAGTTGCAACCACGTGGTTTCCCAGGCACTTCCTCTCCCACAATGCACCGGGGGGAACAAGAGGAAAGGAGACCCAGAAAAAGCCGGCCAGGTTGATTTTGTGTTTCACGGGCCGGAAGGGGAGGGAAAAATGAAAATTAAAAAAAAAGACATAGAGAGAAAGAAAAGTGTTTTATTGAGCTGCCAAGTCTGGGGCGAGACCTTTATTAGAGATTAAGAGATCAAGTGCCGGCATGAAAAGGGGTTCTCTTTCAGGAGCCCCCGACCCCCTTGCAAGGTTGCTTGAAAAAAGGAGCAGTTGGAGAAACGCAGCAATATTGATTTTTTTTAAAAAAATGCTTTGACGTGGGGGTGTTTGATTTCTCTCTCTCTCACACACACACCACTCTTTAGATAGGGAGAGGAAGATAGAAGGTGCCCGTAGTTTTAGCTTCAAGTACAGCTTATGTAAGGACAACCCGGTGGGGGTTCACCAAAAGCCGAGCTTAAGAGACCTGGGTGGCTTAGCATGATGTTTTCTCTCTCTCCCCAGGCCTGGGAGGCTGTGATCACTTAGCAATGTCCACTTGTCAAGGAGATTAAAAAAAGCAAATGTACGATTGTACTGTTAGCTGGCCAAGCCATTTTGCTTAGGGGTCTTGGGTAAAACCCACATGGATCCCTGCCTGAGATCCATCATTTCCGACCACTGCAAAGCCCTGGGATCCATGTTTTTTGGTGGAAAATTCGTAGGAAATTGTGAAGATCCACTTTTGATTTCACAGATCTGCCTTGGGCCATTGATTTTTTCCTGCTTCTATAGTTTTATTGTCTTCTTCATAAAGTACTTGGTGCTTTACTGCGGAGAAAATAATAGGTCTGTGCTGTGAGGAAGTGTTTTAGAGCAATTCCATAGTTTATATATATTTCTTTCTTTGCTGTACCCGGCCTGGATTAGCAATTGGCAGAAACCATCAGTATATAAATTGAATCGTAAATAAATAATAGACGCAAATCTAGCATTAAATGGAAAGTAAACAATAGAAGAAAGAAATGGAAAGAAAGAAAGGCGGTATAAACAAGGGGGAAATATGCAACGGTTTAAATGTCAGGCACTTGTGCTTGGTTGGTAGTTTGCTCACAGCATTAACACAGGAACTAAAAATAGAGACAAGGGTAAGCATGAGAGGGAGGGCTGGGGAAAGGGGCCACACAAGGATAAAGAGGGCAGGAGTATGTGAGGATTCCTATGTAGATCTATTCCCAGGCCTTTGGATATTGGCGAGCTCGTTTTCCCACCCCTTACATTGCACAGTGGCCACCCTTCCTTATGGATTTCTTTAATTTGCATTTCTGTCCATTTACTATACATGAGAGGTTTTATGACTTGGTTGTTGTAATCATGTTGTGGTGCCCGCCCATCTGGGTCTTCGCCCAAAAGTGTGGCATATAATGGAAAATAATATTTATTTATTTATTTATTTGATTAGATTAGTAAATAAATAAATATGGAGTCTGAGATCATCAGCTAGAGAATGAATGGGGAAAATGAGCTTTAAGAAGGATTCTTAGGAAAGTTACATCAACCCTGAGTGCTCACTGGAAGGACAGATCCTGAAGCGGAGGCTCCAATACTTTGGCCATCTCACGAGAAGAGAAGACTCCCTGGAAAAGGCCCTGATGCCTTAATTTGGAAATCTTTTAGGGCTATTTTAATAGAATGTTTGCAGATTTTGTGTCACTCTCTTATCTGTCTTTAAGTAGCAAGAAAACTATGATTTGAGGCAGTGGAAGACAGGAGGGCCTGGCGTGTTCTGGTCCGTGGGGTCACAAATAGTCGGACACGACTTAATGACTAAACAACAATAACAGGCAGAGCGTTGGCCCACCATTGCCTTAATTTGGAAATCTTTTAGGGCAATTTTAATAGAATTTTTGCAGATTTTGTGTCACTCTCTTATCTGTCTTTAGGTAGCAAGAAAACTGATTTGTTTTCTGCCTTAGCACTTCCAGAAATATTTCTACGGTGCAATATTAGAAATGGCCATTAGGGGGAAGCAGAGAATATTTCTTCAGCTCGTTTCTTCAGCAACTACTCCAGTTTCTGTATAAAGAAAAATAGAAACAACTGAAACAAAACATCCGTCTTTTTAAACTCAGTTTTTAGCATGGGGTTCTGTTTGAGGTTTATTTGTTTGTAACGCCTCCGTAAAATGAAGCTTAAATAGTTTACATTTGCTATTGCCTCCCTACGGATACAAATTTATACCTCACGATTCCTCCTCCATCCCTTTTTTTCTTCTTCCCCAGAACGAAAAGTGGAAATTAGCGTTTCTCTCCTCTCTAGGACGGGCTGCAAACTGCGAGGCGGGCGGCGACGTGACACACGCCCAACAAAATCGAGCCACCTTTCCTTTTATTATTGCTGGAACTGGACCGGGGATAGTGTGCTTGTGTGTCTCTGTCTGTGTGTGTTTATTTTTTTTTCCTCCCAGTGCGGGTGGGGAGGGGGGGAAAGCAAAGAAAGCCTGGCACTCCGCGAGACTAGCCCTTGGTTTTAGCATGTGCAGAGAGGAAAAAGCCTAAGGAAGGAGAGAGGACCGTTTCTGCGGAGTCGCTTCTCTCTCCCATCATCCGCCCTCCCCAACCCAGCTGGAAAAGGATCTTTTTTTTTCCCACCGGGAGAACTTTCTCAAAAATCCATCAATCTGGAGAACAAAGTGCCTGATCACGGAAAGCACCTCTGCTTTCTCGCCCTGGAGGTGTCAAGCGGGTGAGTGAGCT